AGAGAGAGAGAAACATAATACATCAAACAAAGGAAAGAAAGAGTGTCTCTTCTTCTTATGTTCTTCTCCCCTTCGGCCATTTTTCTAACCCCCTCCTCTAACTACAACTGGGGCCCGGACCCCATGACACACCTTTCTTTGTACGTTTGTACTTACCAGAATGTTGATTTTAGTATGAATCTTCAGACCTAAAAATCGCTTAGTGCCTTCTTCACCGAACACGTCAATATATATGCTCTCGTACTGGCCACAGAGGCGACAGATCTGCGCCTCGTCTTTCCCTAGCTCCATTTTTGTTTATATGCCTGTAAAGGCTGCCTGAATACGCTTTCGACTACTTGATCACAAATCATGCATGAAACCGGTGCTCGCAGTATTTTCCGGCCCGATCCCCGTATCACTAGCCACTAGTTTCAACGATGTTACGACCTCCGAGCTCGAATCCTTCGCCGGCAAAATAAATAGAAAGAAATGAAACAAAAGACAAAATTCTAACGTTGGCGTTACTACTCCTCGGTCTGGCACGGGGATGTAGCCGCGTTTGGGCCAGACCAGCATACGTTCACTTCCCTTCTCCGCCCCCGCACAATTGGATGAGTTTTGACCAATCGACGATCTCCTTTCCGCGTTATACGCTTACCGTGTTCACAATTGGTCGCTACTGTCGCGGTTTAACTTAAACCACTATATATGAACTAATAGTAGATTGACAAAGTGATTGAAAATTTCGTTTTTTTTCTCCTTAGATTTTCCTTACATTTTTCTATCTTTTAATCTTCTGACAGTAAGTAATTAAACATAGCATTGCGTATTTGAATATTTATAATTAATGTTTCTAAAATATATATACGTAATAATATTCATTTAATTTATAATGTTTTGTGATTCATGTTTAGTTTTTTATTTTTCGAATAAACACGCACGTAATATGTTCGATAACGCAATAATTAAGTTTATATTTTTATTTGCAAGCCTTTTTTCCCTTTCTGTTTAATATCGTTCATAAAATACGAGAAAAATTATAGTATATAATATAGTCAATGTAAAGTATTATTTGAATGAAATTACAATACAATACCATGTGAAAAAATATACATATTATGTTATGATGTATTAGATGCGATTATTAAAGGATTAAAGGAATAAAATAATATATATTATATAGATGTAAGTATTAGGAAGGAAATTCCATGTTTAAATTTTGGTATTGTGCTTTCGTAATATTTTCGGATTAGTTTATGAAAGAGGTTAAGTAATGATTAATGACAGAAAGGTATCTAGCATATGATTATTTTCTTGCGCATACACAAAATGTTTTGCAAGAAATTGTAATGACCGTATGAAACTGAACATAATCACAGGTGTTGATTTTGCGTTCAATGTACAATATTGTAATTATTAGTCGTAAGTGACAAATTTATTAAAATTATTAATTTATAAAAAGAAACGCTAAATTTTCATAAATTATAAATTATTGTTTTATGAATTTTTATTACAGATTATGAAGCAATGAAAACTCTTTCTCATATATCTCAACGAAATCTCTGTATATTTGTTTCATAAAATATAAACGTTAATTCATCAAAATAAATGAAAAGAAGAAAATTAAAAAAATGAACCTAAATGACTCTGTAATTATATGCGAGGAAACTCCGAAGTCAAAGAAGAAAAAGACATCTAAAATAAAAAATATCCAAGAAAATACGAAACGAACATTTTATGAAAATCCGTTGAAATATATTCAATTGAGGTAATAAATTAAAATACACAAATAATATGAATATAACATCTAACTTTTATCTGTTTGGTAATTGTAGTAACAAGAAAAAAAAACAAAGACAAGTTAGTAATAATAATCAAGTTTCTAACAGTAAAAAAGATCTTTTTCTCTTTGGAAAGGAGTCCTTACAAGACAGCATTATTATTTTAAGCGATAATGAAAGTGAATCAAATAACAAACGAGATGAAATTAAGTCCAACCAGGAAACAAAATCTAGAAAGAGATTCTTAGATCTATCAATAGATGATGAACAAATTTCTCTTTGTGATTCAAATGAAACTATAAATCAAAGAAAAAATGCAACAGAAAAATCTCTAAGAAAGAAAAGGAAAATGGGAATTACTGCATTGTCAGAAAATAATTTTACTTGTCCTACAACATCTGATACAAGGGATTTGGAAATTACAACTCTTGATTTAGATGATGAAAACATAGGTAAAAGACAAGTTTATTATAAAATAATTATATTATCAGAAATATATTATTGCGATTTAATTTTTTATAGCTCCAGTATCATCAAATTCTGTGCATCAAGTATCAGATGATATTGTTGTGGTGTGGTCATCTACAAAGACTGCTCCATCATCTGCAATCACTGTACCGACATCTACAAAAATTATTCCAATATCTACAAATGCTGGTTCACTACCTACAAAAATTGTTCCAGCATCTACACAAACTGTTCCAGTTGTTGCATCTGCAAAAACTGTTTCAACATCTATAAAAACTATTCCAGTATCCACAAAAACTGTTTCAACATCTACAGAAACTGTTTCAACACCTACAAAGGAAATTTCAACATCTACAGAAACTGTTTCAACATCTATAAAGACAACTTTACCATCTATAGAAACTGTTTCAACATCTACAAAAATTGTTCCAGCATTAAAAATTGTACCGTCTGCAAAAACTCTTGCACCATTTGTAAATCAATCAAAACAGGAAACCGTAAATCAAGAGAAGAATGATAGAATTTTTATGATAGATAATACACCAAACCTAAAAAATCTTAATTGCTTACAATGTAATGAAAATTTATGGCACATTGAAGATATTGAAAAAAATAATGAAGAAGACAAAGATTTAAAAGAAAGAGACATTGTTTTACCTTTCAGCAAACGTGGATTAAAACTTCCTAAAGCTCAAAATATAAGCAAAAATATTGTAATGAAAAAACCAAGGACAATTCAGAGACTAAGGAATTTTAGACGACAAGTGTCAAACTATACTACATCTGCTATGTGTACTACATATAACACGATTAGTACATCTAGTACATCTAATACATCTAGTACATCTAGTACATCTAGTACATCTAGTACATCTAGTACATCTAATACATCTAGTACAACTACTATATCTAGCATACCTTTACCTAGTGCACCTTTTCCTACATCTTCAATACCAGTTGTATATAATATGCAAACTACATATGAATATTTTAACTTATATGGTTCAGCTAATTCTGGATTTCAAACTAGTATTGGATCTAGCTCTGAATTAACTTATCCTCGGTTATCTACAGTTGGATTAACTTATCCTCGGTTATCTACAGGATCATCTACACATCAGCTACCTAATAAGTTGCGGGAAATAGTTATTGATGGCAACAATATAGCCATGTCGTATGATGATTTTGATTTTTAAGAGATCATATATTTTATTTGCATATTATAATTATATGTATAGCAAAAATTTAACATTTTTTAGGTATCGAAATAATAAAATATTTGCGGAGGAAGGAATCAAGATAGTTGTAGAGTATTTTCAGAAGAGGGGTCATACTGTAAAAGTATTTGTACCTCATTATAGAAGGTCACCTGCAAATCATCCATTACTTGAAAAGTTACATACAGATGGAATAGTAATTTTTACACCAAGTCGTTTCATCGGTGGTAAACGAATAACTCCTTATGATGATCGGTAAATTGTTTTCTCTTTTAATTATGTTATGTGGTAAACGAATAACTCCTTATGGTGATCGGTAAATTGTTTTCTCTCTTAATTATTACGAGAATATTTTTATAAAATAGTATTCTATATTTATGCTATTCTGCAACATTTCATAAAATGGGGTTCTTTATCATTTTTAGATATATATTGGAATATGCAACAATGTGTGGGGGTGTTGTAGTCTCTTTGGATCAATATAGAGATTTATATTCGGAAAAACCAGAATGGCGTGATACAATCGAAAAGAGATTACTAACTCCAACATTTGTAGGAAATTATGTTATGTTCCCTGAAGATCCTCTAGGTAGAGGTGGTCCTACGCTTGAAGAATTTCTAAGATATTGAATATAAAAAGTAGCAAGGA